CCCAATCTATGGCTAGCGGTTCAGTACATAAAAAGATTCTGAAAAAATCAATTTCAAACCTCATCTTCAAAACAGCTCAAAAAAATCAGCTCAAAATCGGCCACACCAAATTTACACCTGCAACTAAACACCTAAATTGCCTTAATTGGTTCAAACCAATGTTGGCACAAGAAATACAGGAATCAATGCGCTCAAACAGTACACCAAACCTTGCTTATAAAAAACCCATAGGATATGGTGTTCCACCAATCCCCCACTCCGATTAATAATGATGTAGAACATTAAAACCGTTGTCATGTGCTATGTGGGAGGTTACTAGATCACTTGGCCAGCATTGAACACATTGATTTTCCGTAAAATCGGAGTGTACTAGTTCTCAAATTCTAATGGGAAACGTCTTCAAAGACCCCTTGGTATATTACTTGCTGCTACGTGAGTAAATCCTCCAAGAAGGTGGGGGATACTGTGAAGGTATAATTCCGGGAAACGGTCATCCCTTGGTATGGCACGGAGTATGTCCCTGAAGATACCTTACTCCAGAAAAAAGCGGCTTTTGTTACTCAAATGGATTTTTAACCATTTTCTCACAATTCACGAGGTATCGGGATAACGGACATGTCGTGTACCCTTCGCGCACATCTATCCGTCGAATGCTACGGTATATGACAGCTTTCAATATCACTGTTGGTATACCTACTCCCTTGCAAACTTGCACTTGATGGTGCAAGGCACCACTTGTTGAAATATATCACTAGGCTACAACAAGATAGGATGAAGTAATTCAGGATGACTGGCGACTTGTCAGGTTGGTAGTGTGAGATCTCGTAAACTTCAATGGGGATTTCGCCCAGAAAGTGAAGCTACTCTGTGCTGGAAAGCGGAGAAGCAGTGTACAGCTCTTTCAGACATGATACACCACCACTGATTATTCAATCAAGGAAGCCACATCACGCGGCCACATAATGACTGGCTCTTCGAACGACGACTTTTCAGAAGGGGGTTTCACTCATTTTGTGGACTTGTTCTCCTCTGAGCTACTTATGGACTGATGGTGGTGAGATTTGGTAATTTTTAAATGAGATTTTGTCCTGTGAGTGATGCCAATTTATGCTGCGAAGCTGAGAAGTCCCATACAGCACCAAAAATTTAGAGGTGAATTTATCAACTCGGTGAAACCGCATCAGCTTGACAAGGTTACCAATCTAGAAACTTTCTGTCGTGAACTAAAAGGCTACCAAAAAAGTTCCGTCGAACACCAGGGGAGAAACATGCCAAAACTGCCAGGCATCGACACACCAAAACCGATGGCCGGGCCAAATTAACAGCGCACTGATGTCCATTTCAACGGTGACAAAACGTTTGCAACCAATTCCTAATGTTCTGTGAGCTGCAAACATACCCATAAAACTACGGATACTAAGTTCCAGTGGTGCAGCTAAATAAGGTTTATTGGAGACACGTGATACCTTCTTTCGTAACTGTTCGTGTTAAGCCTTATCAGCTGTAGTACCTTTTCGATGCCTAACTGTCATGCCACCTGAGGTCTGGGATATCGTCAGATTGCCCAAGTCTAGAAAGGGGAAGTCAAGAGGTAGAGGCCGGGTTCGAAACATTCTCAGTAAATTCGCGGTCCAACCACTGAGTCATCTCGCCGTATCTTGGCTACCCGGTGATTCACTCCACTGGAAGGGCCGACCAAAACCAGTTATTTGACCTGTATATAAAGGGAGTAGCGACCTCTTAAACCGATGCGACAAGGGAACAAAATTAAAATTAGGTAACCGGTTTATCCGATACGAAAACCGATAGAATAAGCAAAGTGGAAGATTGAAGGTGTAGTGCTCGTACTTTTTATCGGGAAAAGCATTCAAGCTCTTGATTACAGAATATAGAACGGTCTACCATTACTCAGCTGTTTTATTGAAGTTGTACAAAAGTAAGCTGATGATAAAACCGGATTCTTTAGAAAACGGTTTGCGACCGAGAAGACGAAGTAAGGCAACAAATGAACAGTAGTCAATCAAACGTCACACTTTCAAACGCAAATAGCTCACATCGATTGTGTAGAGAACCTGAGCGTTACCCCTTTGAAAAGGACATTGAAAAGACCAACGAGAGTTGTGCCTTCCTTTAGAAGTTCAGCCCAAGAGACTCCACCCCCTACCTCTACTACCCCTACCTTTATTGACGGCGATTTAGTTGTTTCAAAGGGAATTAATTGGATCAAACCAATCGATTTTAACCATTTCCACAAGGAACGGCGTTAAGCGCTGCAGCCATGGAGTCGGTTCTCTTCTAATTTACTGCTCCCTTCTCCACTTTCACAATCGTCACCTTCAAGCTTATTAGAAGGTTTCTGTACGAACACATATTGCAACTGATAGTAACAGGGTGACGTCACTAGCCATTCAGCCTTTTAGCTGCTGATATCCACCCAGCGCTAGGTAATCGGACGATTTTCCATGTTTGGGTGAGCAGAAATCTCCAAAACGGAACAAGTTTGACACTGTAGGTGTTCACTTGGTACGGTCATCCGCTTAATGTGAAGTTGAAATCATGATGGCGCTGTCGGTTCTATAGCACAGAGGTGTTATCAGCAGGCGTAACATCATCATCATTATCATCGACAGCATGACATCGGTGATCAACACCGATGCTTCACTGCCATACAACCATGACTTAGTTGAAGGCCTTATTGTAAAGAAAAGAATAAAGATGGACGGGGAAGGGACTTAGTGCTAGCTTAACACAATCATTCCGAGGTGTCTCACTCAGGCAATCTGGATAGAAACTGACAACAAGATCGCCACTGACATCGGTTGGCAGCCATATCTTGTAGTGTCTCCAACCAGGCACAGTGAGGATCACGCGGTCCCCATCCTGGAAGGCGAGTAGCACCGACAGCACCCAAGCGTTTCGTCATCTCCTTCATACTCCTCTGCCAGGTCATGGGTTGGCCACCTCTCTGTTTACGCCACTCCGAATTGGGCATGGAAAACAGTACTCTCTTCGGCAAACGATGGTTCGGCATGCGTAAAACATGTCCCAACCAACACAGCTTCTGG